CCCACAGCCCCCGAGTCACAGTGGAGGCTCACCAGCGCACAGGAAGCACAGTGGGTCCTAAGCGCACAGGAAGTTGTCACAAATGCGCCTTCCCTTTCCTTTCTTCAGCACGCAGCTGATCACCAGTGTGTTTCCCTGCACCTCCTCGCTCGCACTTGCAGCGATGACTCTGGATCCATCCACATGTGAATTGACCATAAGCCCCGGAAGGGCAGACGGTGTTTCTCGTTGAACACCCAGCCGTGATGAGCTACTGACGCTACGTGAGCACTATCGTGCTTCTGGCTCTAACACAATTCTCCATCCCAGATGGTGCAGGCAGGCTCCTTGCTCTACTCTGACGCGTGATTAGCATCCTTGGTACACTGAGAGCCGCGTGGGCACTCCGGCTCTCAGGGACAGCGAAAACGGCAGAGCCAGGAGGAAGTGAAGACAGTGGGCGACGAACAGGCGTGTGTCCACACTCTCCGCAGAGATCAGACACCTAGGAACAGAGAGAACGATTAGCGTCTGACTCACCCGCTGTGTAACTCCGTGAGAAATTTCCAGCTCAGTCACTTAGGCAGCAAATCAGACTCAAAAGGCCAGATGCCTTATTTGGCAGGAAAGGAAATTCCACCTGCCTTTCCCCTTCATCGACCAATTATGAAGACATTAAAATGTAACGGCTCGCGTTTGCTAAAAATGGCAATTAGCAGTGTCATTAACAAGTGTTGAAATCAAATAGTAGGTTAGGATGAAGGGATAATTAAACATCACTTCACACAATTCTCTCTTCCATAGAACATAGCATTATTGATTAACTTAGACCAGGAGTTGGTAAACTACAACCTATGGACCAAATCCAGCGCACGGCCTGTTGCGTTAACCACGTCTTTGTGGGAGCACGGCCACACCTACCCGTTGAATTGTTGGAATGCAGACCAGACAGCCTTCAGAGGCTAAATTACTTACACTCTGGCTCTTTACAGAAAGTGCTTGCTGGGCCCTCATCTGCGCTCTCCAATGCGGTGTCCACAGAAGGTCCTGGAATGTAACACACAGGTGTCCATGCTGTCCCTGGGGCACGCACAGCTTGCTGACCTCCATCCTGGGGTTGATATCCTGGGTAGCGTTCGCTCTTAGGGCTGGTTGCCTCCGCTGACCAGCATAGAACCGAGACCGAGCTGACCCCCAGGCTGGAGAGCAAGCACCTGATGAGCCTCGTTGGCGCGGTCAGCCGGCCTCTCGGAGAACCAGCTCAACCAGGTCTGCCCCCAACTCCAAAGAAAACAAAGCCACAGTCCGGCTTTCCACTTGTGCCAGGGCACCTCCGACTCAGAGTTACTGCCTAAACTTCACGCTGCCCGCAGATGGAGGCTCTGTCATCCCTGGGGAGGGCCCAGACTAGCGAGAGGACGAGAGGACGAGCTGGCCCGCCCTTCGCGAAGAGCATCCAGCCCCCAGCGCCACACCCAGAAAGGGCCAGACCCAAGCTCAGGCATGAACGCTTGCTGGGTCCAAACACACGCGTGCTGCTGGGGCTCCCTCACCTCCAGCGGGTGGCTGCCAGTGACAAGGCCAAGAAGGACAAGGGGCGCCCTCAAGCCTGGTTTCCACCGGGGTTCACGTCCGTCTGGGTGGTCCTGGACCTGCAGTATTGGCAGCCCCCCCTCCTGGGACACCCGGCACTTTTGTTCAACTTGAACCACCCCTACAATCCCCCTCCCCGGGCCCACAGACCAGGAGTGGGGCTGACCTACCTGCAAAGGGAGGTGAGCGGTTCAGGCCCAGGACCCCACAGACTGACCTGCTGGGACGCGGCGGGTGGTGAACATGCGGAGGGGACGGGAGACACGCCGAAGAGCGCTTTTCTTGGGCGCTGAGTGACCATGCTGCCCCCGGCTCTTGCTCGGGGGCCAGTCTCACCCACTTGCTTTTCTGTTGCCTTCCTTCTGTTACCCAAAAAGGGGAAGGGGAGGGACCCCCGTTCTTGTCTTACCCGAAAGATGAGAATTCAAACAGGAGATGCCAGTGAAAGATTTTGAAGGTTTTATTTAGCAAAGGCAAGGGCACCTCCAAGAACGGGAGGCGGGCTGCTCCGGGGCGGACAGCAGTGGCCTCTGCCCCTTCTCTCACGCCCTTCCTTAGAGGTGGCCTCCGGACTGACTGGCTGCTCTTGCCCCTGGGGGTCTTAGTCATGCCTGTCCCCTTCTGCACACATCCTTACCCATGATGCACACAGAAGGACCCACGGGGAGGGGCTAAACCGCAATGCTAATCATATTACAATGAGCACTGGGTCGTGTCCAGTCAGATTCTTCCGGCTACCGCGCACTTGCAGCTGTCGGGTTCTCACCAGCTTCTCGCTGGCGCCCAGTGAGAGGAAATAAAGCCCCTTTAAGCTGGAGGTGGGCGTAACGCCATCTCCTGGGCCCTCCTCCCTCCCCTCCACCTGTCCGCCCGGTGCCCCCACTTGTCTAACCACCTAACTCTTCCTCCACCTCTCCTCTCAACTCCCCCTCCCTTCCCTATGTTAACGGCCCTACCCCTGGCCTGGACCATATTAATGAGCCTTAGTGTCCACGAGCCTCTCTTTCCTCTCCTCTCCTGCCCATGCAGTAGGCCAACGGCCCCTTGCCGTGCCCTCCCGACCCCCTACTTCCCAGAAGTCCACAGCAGCTCTCTGGGGGTGGGTGGGGGGGTCAGTGGGCACATGGCAGCCCCTCAGGGTGAGTGCACCCGTCACGGAGGCCCCACCCTGCTGCCCGGCAGTGGGATCAGACACAGATGTTCCAGACCATGTGATTGAGAGACATGGGGGGGGTCTTCTGGAAGCCTCTGGAAAAGGTTGTCCTTGCTGCTGAGAAGGGACACCACAGGGGGTGGGAAGAGACAGTGCCTCCCATTTCACTGCGCTGCTGCCAGCGGGTGTGGTGCCAGGACGGTGCAGGCAGCTTACGGGGAGCCCGCCTCCTGCAGCCAACGTGCCGGGGACGATGGAGAGAACCCACGTTCTTAATGATGTTACAGGTGATGAATGAACCGACTCTGGAATCACCCTGACAACAGAGTTTACAATGCGTGAGAAAATACACTTCTTTTTGTCCCTTAAGCCATTTTGAATTTATTTGCATATTACTTGCAGCTAAAGTCACCCAAGCTTAAACAAGCTTTGGAGGGCCTGCCACCTGACGGAACAGCCCAAACCTGGAGCCTTCCCTCCACCTTGCACGGCCTCTACCCCACAGAGCCTCCTGGAGGGGCGTTTGTACCGCCCACCAAAGCTAGCACGTTCCCTAGCCCGCCCCCCACACGAGGCATTGCACCTGCCTCGACCTCTCACTTTCTCCCACCGTCTCCAAATATACTGCAAACTCTGTTTAAAATGGAATCACCAAACTTCCGCTTTGAGTAATGATGAGGCAGGTCATCTGAAGTAAAACTCCTGTTGAGGTCAAGGTGAAAACCGAACACAAAATGAAAACGTGAGTTTGTGAGCCTCAGAGAGCTGCAAGTCAAGTCGAGAACTACTGAGCTGGATCAGAGTGAAGACGGAAGCTTTCTCCCGGCGTGATTTCCAGTTTCAGGGAGGGCGGCTGGGAGGGAGGGCAGCACATTTCATAGACTCAAAGAGTCGTCCCTGAAGTCAAGGTATGAGCAGAATGTGAAGCTAAGGAAAAACCGGTCTGGGCGAAAGAAAATTCTTTTCACGAAATGGCTCTAGGTCAGCTGGAGATGCGCACAGAAATAGAAGAAACCCGTGCAGCCTCACGCCGCACACACATTTGTAGGTCTCCATGCGAAAGGCAACACAATGCAGCTTTCAGACAAAAATGTGAGAGACTATTTTGTTGAACATGGGGTAGAGGAAGCGTAATCAAGCAAGATGCCGAAAGCATTGTCCACAAAGGGAAAGACTCGGTCCATGGTCCTACGGTAATCCTAAGACCCTCTAGCATCAAAGACACCAGCAGGAAGGGAAAAGACAAACCATAAAGGGGTGTGGAGAGACACTTGCAGGGAATTGTCCTACAAGGGGCTCTTTCCTGGTGTACACAAGGGATTAAGTAATATCAATTAAGAAAATGACAGTCAGATTGAAAATGGAGAGATTGTAGGTGGGTAAATCCATGAATAGATACTCCAGTTTATTGATAATTAAGGAAAATTAAAGTCACCGTACGATGGCCCTCTGCACGCCAGAATGGACTGAAATGGAGAAGGTGGACAGCACCCAGCTTCGGTGCAGTGTGAGTGGACAGAGCTCTCACGCTGCAGTAAGAGCTTTCATCAGTACCTCTCTGGAAGACAGCTTGGCATCCTTTGTTAAAGCCGAGGACGCTAAGGACGTAGGACCCAGCGGATGCAGCTACGTAAGCTCTCAACAGAACCGCCTGGACACGTGCACCAAGAGGTCCGCGCAATGACACCCATCGTAGCAGTGTTTGTTCCAGCCCCAAACTGAAAACAGCGAAGTGATGTCAAGAATAGAAATGTCCTCACAAGGTGCTGGGCTAGACAGGAAAGGAAAGGAAGGAGCCAAATACAGCAAGCCAGATACAGAAGGACACGTCCCGCGTGCTTCCGCTGAGACAAAAATCACACCCAGCAAAACTAAGCCACAGAGTTCAGTTGCTGCAGGAAGCAAGGAAGTGATTTCCATCGAAGTCAGGATAATGGTCGCCTTTAGGGGCAGAGGCGAAGGCGGGGTCCTCCAGGAGAGGCAATGCTATCCTTCTTGACCTGGGTACCAGTCACGTACATATTTACTTGGTGACCCATGATCGTTCTGCATCATTTTCTGGTTGTGTTTCGTGTTTCGCAGTGAAAGGAAGATAAAAGGAAATTTGCACCAACACCATTCTGTGGGGACTGCGTTGCCCAGCTTCTTACTCTCCTTCTCACAGTCTGCCTGAAATATTTGAGTTGTTTTGAAAGAATGGAAACTGTACTGCTCTGAGATCTAAGAAAATTTTTTGCTGCTTTTTGTCTCAATGCTAAGGGCTGTTTTAGGAAAGAAAATCCATCAGACATTTGATAAAGAGTATTAGTCCTCAGACAGGGACACAACCGGGGTCAACAAGCAAGACCAGGAAGACGAAGGAGGGCCAGCTCTGATTCTGATTCGGGACAAGTGGTCTCAGCGACCATGACTAGAATGAACGTCCCTGAAATGTTTCCTCAAAGGATTTTCTCCCGTTATCTGTGATGCAAGAAGGCAGAAAAGAGCGAGTGGAGACACCGAAGCACTGCGAGTGAAGGCTTTCGCTGCCTCCCAACAAGGAGGCCAGCGCTGCGGGGGTCGCTCTCCTCCGTCTAACCGGGGAAGCCAGAGAGCCAGAAGCTAGACCTGACAGCTAGGCGGGCAGCAAAGACGAAAGTGGCTGCCGTGTGTTTAAAACCAGCCTGAGAGCAACGACCTGAGAGCAAGACACTGTGAGACGCGCAGAAGGACGGCTGCGAATCAAACACGCGTTGCAGCGACGGCTGGAGGTCACAGCCCAGGACGGGCTGCGAGCATGGCCTGTTTCACCGCGGGACTAAGACGGAAGCAAAACCCGAGTAGCGAATACATAGCAGGATGCAACAGGAGTGTTAGAGGCGGCACAGGTTTGGAGAACAATCATTGAGAGGGGAAGGCAGCTGCAGTTCTACTGACATTGTACGCGTGCTGGCTTCTTCATCTTGGAGAACCAGGAATCAAGAGAGACTGGCAAAACTGATGAATGACTTCAAAGAGAAGTAAGCTTTTCTAAATGCAAAGGGAAACCTTAAAAAAATTAAATAAGAAAAAAATACCGCATGATATCATTCGTATGCAAACTGCCTCTGCCCTCTTAGACAGTCACAGTAACTAGACAAAGTGACAGAGGTTCTTCATGAAAAGGGATCACGTTATGGAAGTTTACAGCAAGTGTTGTTTGAGCAGAAAACGCATGTTGAAGAGCACCTGTGGGGGGAGGTCCGCCGTCGTCTGGCTGCAGGTGGGGTCCGCAGAGGAAGCCGTGGACTTGAGAGCCAGATGCCCGTGGGTCCAGGCCCCAGCCTTGCCACTGGCTACGCGTGGGCCCCAGTTTCTTCACCTAAAAATCAGCCGTCATATTACCTCCCAGCTCAGGTTAGTGTGAGGGTGGGTGGAAGACGAGGGAGAGAGCGCACAGTGTGACATGTAGTGCAAAGTCAGTGCAAGGGCCTGGGCGGGGCGTCACCTAATCAGAGCCCAGCGTGCCAGTCTGATCGACAGTCGGCGCCAGGCGCGGCGAAGGACCCCTCCGGGGCCCCCTTCCGTGCCGATGTTGCCAGTGCCGACCGGCTCTGCCTCGGCCGCTGAAGTGCCTTGGGGTGGGCTGGGAGAGTCTGGTTAAACTCATTCTGCCCGATTCTCACCTTAAGGTGTGGTGCCGTAGAAACCCCAAGGACAGCGCAGACCCCACGTGGCTTCAGGCTGAGCATCCCGGGGCCGCGGCTGGTGGCCGGTGCGCGGTGAGTGAGACGCAGAGATGAGCCAGGAGTGCCCAGAGCTTTCTCCTCCTCGCTCCGGGTGAGCCGGGTGGAGGCGCGCTCAGCTACCGAGGCGTTGGTTGGCCCTTTGCAGGGTCTGGAACTTGGGGACGATCTTCTTCAGCCCCGTGGGGCCCTGGTTTAGAGTCTGGGAGCCCCGGTTGGGCTTCCCATATTCGAGAGATACCTTAGCCAGTTTCAGGGCATCTGCTCGACGGTCTCCCTGACGACCCCTGGGAGCCTGGAGTGAGCAAGCGACAGGCCTGCCGGCAGGGAGGGCCGTCCCACTGGAAGAGCCGCCCCTCCCTGGCACTCAAAGGCTGCACTTGGCGCACGGGAATCCCGCCAGCCTTTTACGCAGGTACAAGCAAGCTTATTCCCGGCATGGGAGCCGCCCTGCTGGCAACTAACAGTCACCCCTGGTGTCTGTCTAACGCCCACGAGGTCCCCGAGAGGAGTTTTGTGGTTCCCATTTTGCAGATAAGCGAGAGACAGAACTTGACCGGAACAATCACCACAAAGAGGAATGGAAGAGGAGGGAAGGGAGGAGAAAGGGAAGAAGGCCAGAGCTGCCGCTCTGTATTAGGTCACAGACGCTAAAAAACACTGACGGCTACTGTTACCGTCTCCCGCCACAGGTGCAGCGTCTGAGACAAGGAAGAACTTGCTCGGAATGCCCTGGAGGACAGTTGCCACCGCTCCCCGGGCCCCTCATTTTTCTAATTCCCACTTAGATGGCCGACAGCTGGAACGTGTCCCACACGTGAAAACCACAGGAGGACAAGGCCACGTGGCCACGTGGGACCCGACCACCAGCCTCCCTTCTGTTTCTTCACAGGCCTCAGAGGATGCCTAAAGCTCTTGAAACCAAATCGTCCATCTTGGGGGCCTTTTGAGCTACCAAATATGGGTAAAGAATTAACAAGTAACACACCATCTAGTGTAGGAAAGATAGCTTATTTTAAAGCAGCAGCAAAGAATCTGCAATGGGTACAAACTAAATGCTTTAGTTTGGTTCATTCTAAAAACAGAAAACTAGAAAGTGGTGTCTGATGGTTTGTGGGTGCAAAGGAAACAAATCGTTCCCGGGCAAAACTATCTTTGGCCAGATTTTATGGCTGACTCAGCAATCCTGAAAGGGCAGAAGGTGTTAATACAATGGCGCTGACTTGGAGCTGTTTGCTGCGCTGCCCCACGCCAGCTCTGGGCTGAGTTTCTCATCAAGGAACAACCCTGCGCTCTATCCAAGGAGGGCAAGGGCCCACTGCTGCCTCATCATGACATGGCACACCGGTCCCTCCACGCCCTGACTCACATGGAGATGTCCACAGGCGGTGACATCATGGCCTCAGAGCAAGTGGGGAGACGCCTGTGGCCGGGGGATGGACTGGCTGTCACCCGCCCTGCCCCCAGCCTCTGAGCTCATCTTTCTGTGCGCACAAAGAGCCGGCAAGTCTCAACCAAATTTAAAAGTGGCACCTCTTACCCTGCCGATGTGAAGTCATTTTTCTCTCGGAGCTCAGTCAGTCCCACAGCTGCATCACAGGAGGTAGATAGTGACGATGATAAACACTAGAAAATGGAATCACATCAGGATGTAGTCCCAGGGGGATTCTGTTATTTGCTTTACTGTCCCAGACGTTTCCCAGAGGGACACGCGTATGCTCCCTTAGATGCAAACAGAATAATAATGGTTCCC